TTCCACGACAGTAAAACTTCCATAAAAAAGAAATAATCTCAATTTTAAGAAATAGCAAGTAGTATAAATCTAAAAACTAACACGTACAAACATGCCACACCTCTTTCATACACACACTCTCACACTCACTCACTCACACACACACACACACACACACACACACACACACACACACACACACACACACACACACACACACACAAATACACACACAAATAAATATTTACAAAACAAAACACTAGTAGATGTACATGTATGCACTGTATTTTGTAAAATGAGTAATGGCGTAATGACTACTCTTTAAAAATAACCCTGTATAATATTATTTCCACACAGTTTTAGCGATATGTTAGAAGATTTTTTTTTATAAAGTAAGAACCTGTAATTGGCAGTAGAAAATGTAAATACTTACTAATTTTACAATGTTACAAAATGCTGTTGGTTCTGTTACAATAAATTAAAAAAAAAAGTTACTATTATAGGCAGAATAATTAATTTGAGTCTTTCATTTATAAGATAATTTTAGGACGAGAAACGTCGTGTTGGCGGACTTCTTACGAAATCGAAATATTTTTTATTTCCCAAAGTTCATGCTTTTTTCTATGCCATATCTATCAAGTCAAATATTTAGGTAATGGCCAAATAGCAAGATAAAAGAAGATACATCAAAGCAAAATCTTTCAAAGCTCATCTTCCAAATCGAATTTTAGTTACGATGGCCCGTCTCAACGTAGACTATCCATCTGCGCAGGACAGGATTATAGTGTCAGAGTGTATGCACAAACAGATATATTATCTATTTCCTCACTGTCTTAGTCCGATTGGATGGTAATCCGCTACGACCTGAGAGAGGTCAGGCGCAGGATGAACGGTTTTACGTGGTATCCGGGACACTGGGGTGCAATACTGCCATTTTCCTGATTCTGGGCTGCTACTGAGAATTTTTGACAGAATAACTCAATAATTGATTTTTGGCCCCACTGGGGATTAGAGACCAGGATTTGATGATCAGCAATTGCGATTTATGACTACTACACAAACGAGGCAGTCAATCGATACTTATTAGATGTTACATGTATATGTCTATGGGATTGGCATTCACTTATCATCACTGTCTGTGTGATGTAACTGTGTGGTCATATGTCATATCTATTCCATAAAAATGTATTTTATAGATTTTTTCCAAAATATTAAACTAATATTCTTTAAAATATTCACTATCAATATCATCACATTACAAGTAGGTAGGTAGGCATTGCTAAAGGTAGACTGCTTACATTCATGACCATAAAGTACGGTCCCGAACCACCAACGTGTTTCATCATGTCGTCTTTCCATCTAGTAGAGGGTCACTCAACACTGCACTTGCCAGTACAAGGCTTTCACTCGAGTACCTTTCTAGCTTCTTTACTCACTTTCTTTAATATTACATTAATATTATATTATACTATTAATAATGTTTTTGGTGGTCGACTGAAATTTGAAAAGTAAAAAATGTATTTTTATGACAGGCTTTGTGTGTTAATGGTTGTGCCTTTATGCCCATATTTGTACCTACCTCTTACGAAATCGATCAATCGTTCCACTGGAGAAGGGATGGTCTTTGACAGGGCATACCTTTCAGCAATTCAGGCCATTTTCGACCGTTTACAACTTCGTTGTGGAAAGAACTAGAAACCTGAATTTGGAACCAAGCAAGCATTGTATAGACACGGTATATTTAAAATTTCATTCAATTTGAACTAGTGGTTTAGGAATTATAATTAGTCAAAGTTTCTCAAAACTCTATAGCACTTCTAGCAGACATAGAAGCTTCAAACTTAGAAAACAGTTAGTATTTAGTGTATAAATCAAGAAAAAACTAAAATATTTATCAACTTCGGTCCAGTTTTCTAGATAAACTAACTGCATAAATAACTTTGTAATCCTATATAAATATATAGTATTACAAACTTACATTTGCAGTTAATGAATCAGTGTACCTATATATGTATAATATAATGGAATAAAAGGTGTAGATAAGTACTTTGTCGGTAACCAAGAAGTAGAAGATACCGGAAGGAAAAAGTAGAACCATCTGCGAAAAGAAATGAGATGCCATTAAAAACATAACTTCTAAAAAAGTCCTAGTTTCGCAACTCAGTACTATCGTGAAAAGTTGTGAGATCCTTGTAATACCAAGTCGGTTAATTTATTCAGTCACTACTCAAGGGTCCTTCTGTCATAAGTTATTACGTAATTAGCTAACATAACAACATCTTATTGTGACCATATCAAAATTAAAAAATCTTTTAATGTTTTAAATAAATAAATTGACTTGGCAATCGCACGAAGCAATCGAATTTAATATAATATGTAGTAATACATAGTAATACATACAATGTTAGATACATTGTGTTTTCATACGGTAGCCCAAGTCTATCTATTTATTTAAAACATAAAAGATTTTTAATATTGATATGGTCACAATAAGTTGTTGTTATGTTAGCTAATTACGTAATAACTTAAGACAGAAGGACCCTCAAGTAGGGACTAAATAAATTAACCGACTTGGTATTATTTGGATCTCACAACTTTTTACGATAGAAGAACTGAGTTGCGAGACTTGGTCTTTTTTTACAAGTTATGTTTTTGATGGCATAAATCTTTACTTTTAATTAAATAGGCTTTTGTGGGAAATGTCATCGAGCCACAGTTATGAATTAACTCATGAACGACTCATCTATATATCACAAATATATTAATATAAAATATCAGCCGATGTAATTTTTTCTTACAAACCTTACAATGAAACAATCCCATGGCTAGTAGCACAGTATAAAGTTCTTAAAGTTGGGAAACGACTGTACTTGAGCAGAGCAACGCAGCATTGCAGCGCAGGGAGCGGGTCGACATTGTCCTAGCACACTTCATTAAGTCTGATAAACAATACACGCGATTGGCGTGAGAGTGTTTTATAGTAATTATGCAATAAAATTGTTTATCTGAATGCGAATACACTACATAATTAAATCTAACAATCGAAAACTGAAAACATCTATAAAAAGAAAGTGTCACAAAAATAATTGGCAATGCAATATAACGCAATTTGAAGATTTTTTTATGATTCATGCAAATATTTCTAAAAAGAAGCTACTAATTTGTTTCAATATCAGATTTAATGATTTGATTCAATGAGTAAGGTTAGGTTTCATTTCATTTCATCTCATTAAATTTCATTTTCATTTCATATCATTAAAAAATTCCATTGAAGACTTGGCTGTATGGGCATAGTTCCCTTTGTCTACCCAGAATGGGTGAAGAAAACAAAAAAATCTCTGCTTATATTCTTTTGCGATTGGCGCCATTTTCCAAAAATGTTCTTTGCGAGTTTAGTTGTTTGTTGCACAAAATGAGTAATTTCGACGATATTTTATTTGAATTAACACCACCGGAACTCAGTATAATTGCACAAAATGCTACGGACAACATTTTGACGGAAAAGTTAAAAAGGCGCTACATATCTCCATACGACGAATTTATTGCTTGGAGAGAAAAGAAAAAAGCAAATAGTTTTTCAGAAAATGTTAGTTTGGCATACTTCTCCGAACTCTCAGCAAAATTAAAACCTTCCACGTTATGGTCGAGGTTATCGATGATGGAAAATATGCTGAAAATAAGGAACAACGTGGATATAAATGAATACCCAAGTTAGTTGAGTTTATTGTGTTTTTATTATTTTATTAAATTGCTTCATTTTTTCGCAACTGCATTAAAATAGTTGTTCAGTACACGTGCAAAACCGTTATTGCAACTTGTTCCGACTGTCAACCCTCACCTTCGGCTGTACCTCGGGTCGGGTAGACATTTGTTGGACTCTTTGCAATGACAGGCTTTTCGCACTCGTAATGTAATATACTATTTCGTGAAAACCCAGCGTGTGTAATACCTACGTGGGCGGTGGTATCGCCGTACATCAAAGGCGTTTCACAACTGTAAGGTCTAAACTGTGCTAGTAGTGGCACATGAGTAAAGATAAGTCAATAATAAAAAAATGAATATTATTTTAAACTGCGGTGCATAGAGTAGTCGCTAACGTAGGATACAGGTCAACAAAGTTACCTAGAAAACTAAATCTTCAGCAATATCTTTTACGTTTTGTTCTCTTAGAACACGTACGTATGTGAGAGAAATTCTTCTATTTTCAGAATGTTTACTTTTGCTTGTAAAACTCAGCAGTATTTGATTTTACGAACGCTTAAAAATGATTCGCTTGCTAAACATATTTTCTTGGTGTTCAAAAATTTTAATACTCCTATTATTTTATTCTTTCTTTATTTTATGTTATCATTTAAGATTCAGATATGTGATGAATTTAGTATTGAATCCTTGTTTATTAATCTACATATTAAAAATATAATTTCATAATTCTTCTTTTAATAACGAGCTACCCATTTTTAGCGTTTCCTCAACACATTGTGTAGCATTTATATAATATGTCCGAACTGAAACATTTACAAGAAAAGAAAACATTTTTTCTCTATTTTTAAGTATATTATTCTATGTTTACTTGGTGTGTTCTAAGTTTTAATAAGTTACAAGTGCTGCGGTCGGAAACACTTCGTCATCCGTCGTACTCACCAGAACTTGCGCTTATAAAACGCCTTTTTCTAGAATTCGGATAACTTTTTCGGCGAGAAAAAAATTCAATACCCAAAAGACAATTCTTCAAAATGCATTTGAAGAATTTGTTGCTTTCCGCTCAGCTGATTTCTTCAAGCAGTGCATCAGTAAACTCCTCCTGCGTTGGTAAAGATGCACCACTTGTATGGGTGATTATTATCATTTAATAGAAAAAAATATATGAAAAAACTTGTTTCATAAAAAGCCGCAATATAGATAATGACTATTTTTACATATTATAGGCTCATTTTAATTCCATCAATACCAATTTTCTACTTTTTTAGTATTATTTCTTATAATTAAATAATAAATATTAATCGCTTAATTTTATTCTGCAGTAGAGGTAGAGTCGGTACAAGGAACGACGGGCGGGCGAGTGGAGTTGCCTTGCGAAGTGAGTCCAGCTCTCTCTGCAGACAAAGTTGGCCTCGTTATATGGTACAAGCAAGGCCACGAAACACCAATATATTCGTAAGTTGAATTATAAATCAATCTGAAAAAATTATTTTGAAAAAATAAAAAGATATACGACAAAATAAAGACAATCCAATAGAAAGTGTTTATGATATAGAAAATATTTAGTGATCTAATTTTTATCGTTTTAAGCCCTACAAAAACCAACGTTTAAGCATCGTCTGTACGTCGTAAATAAAATAGTAGCTTAATACTACTGTTTTTTGTATGGTGAGTGTGAAGAACCGGAGACCCCATTTACTGGAAACAAGTCATCCCATCTTAGCCCTCAAGGTGACAACGCATCTGTATTGATTCTTAATTGGGGGTAAACGTAAATGTCTATAAGACCATAGAATCTTCTTACCTTCAGGTGCTCGTTTTTTATCTATAATAATATCGTATAGCAGACGCCTCGCATCTTTGAACATGTTTCTTGTTGCCGATCCGGTATTACACGTCTGGCGTAAATGAGATGGTTATATCGCCATCTATCGGAACCTATAGGATCTTTCTGTTTACAATTACCTCGACATCCACAGGAAAAATGAGATGATGTCTTAAGCCACCACCACGCAGCGTAAGACGAAAATTATGAAGTAGTTACTTATAATTAGTTAAGTGACTCTATCACCTGTCTACTTGAAAAGTTTGTAATCGTTTGGAGATCTGAAGAACATACATTTTGATTAATAGTAGTTGTTGTCTATTAGTTTTCATATCACTCATGGTATAGTTATGTTCTTAGAATGGTGAGCTGTCAAAAATTCATACCTGAATCATTAGGGACAATAAAAGACTCACAGTTTTGAAGACTAAGAAAGGGATATGGTAATATTGTGATAAGAGGCGTACAAACAAGGGATGTAAATGTAAAAAGGAGTGCTGACAAACGAATAGAATGTGTAAACGAGGGTTTCCTAGTTCGTAAGTAGAAATTCAGATAATAATGTGTCGACAGAGGCAAACATTTTATAATAAAATATTCTAAAAAATATATTCCACGTAAATGTTGTTAAATGTGAATTTGAATCTTAAAACTTTTTCGGTATTCTATTATATTGTTGCGGAGAGCGTACGCAGGAATTATATGATTTTATCACCACCTCGTTCTTTCCACTATCGGACAACCATACAGTCAGCGGGTCTTTACCACTTTATTCGACATGTAAATTTTGTATTTCACTCTATTACTATTTGGTGGATGTCTAATTTAACCTTGAAAATTATGTCCACATTTGAACACTATTATTAAGCGAGTCATAAACTACGCAGATACGATAATATATTATCTGAGTATAAAACTAAATTGTGTGAAAGTATCATACACTACGCGGATACGATAATATACGAAATGATACATTCACTCGAAATTCTTCAAGCTGGACATGATTTTTGAAGCGGATATTTTATACAGAGTGTTACCTAAAATGAGTTGGCGTATATTGTTATTGGTTCTAGATTTGCTAGACAGCTCGTCAGAATAGGATTTAGATTTTAATTGTGATGCTCGTGTTGCATTAGCATTTACTAAAAGGAGAAGAATTATAATAATAACTAGTTGGTAAATTAACCATGATGTTTTTAGTCTGTTTTTCTTCGTAAGAGACATAAACAAGAAACCCTAAACTAAAACACGAATAAAAACAATAGCGCAAAATTTTATTAAAGCTATGATCATTAAAATGTGTCGTATACACAAGGAATTAAAATAGAAACATATTTATGGTTATATGGACGTCAAATATCGTGCGGTATGAAACTTTACCGATAATCTGACGTCCACATATAGAAATACATATAACAAAATTCAAAAATATGGACGTCAAATATCATTCAGTATGAATGTTTTAGGATATTCGGACGTCCATATTATTATACGTTGCTAAATCTAAGGATACTAAAACAAATTTTAGAGCAAAATTATCAAGAGTGAATACAGTACCTATAAACCGATAAAAGTACCAAAATATGCCTTGAGCACTAAATAACTAATAAAAATAAATTAATAGTAAAACAGAATTATCAACAACAACATCGGACATCAGATATCGAAGAAATGGACGTGAAATAAAACTTAGTGTGAATATTTTAGGATATTCTTACGTCCGTATATGGGTAAATACTCCGTTCAATGTCTATGTCAAGGATATTAATCAACTTAATCAAGTTTATTCACCTATGTTACTAAATATAACTAAAGAAACTTAAATGCAAGCAAACATAAGCGTGGAAAGTTCAATGTGCGTAGGTCACAAAATACGGACACCAATTAGAGCACGATATGCACGTTAAAACAAAAATAATAATTGTATTTCAACTAACTGCGAAACCAAACATAATGTCATAATTTAACAAAATTTGCCTTTCACAAAAATTTATCAAGTTAGTAGATAGTAATTTCGTACAGATTAGTTACAATAGTCGCACTCATCCTTGAGATAGTGATCATAAATAATAAACTCGCAGTGAGAGCACAAAAACTCAACACGATCAAGTAAATAAATTATGTTTTCGGAGTTATTCATGTCACCAACAATATGCCACGGTCTATTGTAGAAGTTAACAACCCATTGGCAGTTAATGCAGTAAAACCTTATATTAAAATGAGTTTCTTCCCAAGGCCATATTATGTTATTAGTCGGAGGTTTTTAGTCACAATATAATAATACAAATTTCTATTTAACCTGTCAATATCTACAATTAGTACTTATTTACAATAATAAAATAAATAATAACATAATCAATCTGTAATGTATCACGCCTGGGGAATTTTTTTCGTACTTACTAAACGAATAACTAGTTGGTAAATTAATCATTATATATATAGTCTGCTTTTTTCGCCGGAGACAAAATCACATTTCATATTTTTCGTAACTGTATATTCTGTGGAGTTATTTTATTATTTTGAACAATATACGCAATTAATTGCCTAAAATTAAATCTAATTTGAACCTGAATCTTAAATTAAAAAATGAATTAGATTCGTTTAGCACGAATAATACAGTTTTTGAGGTAAAGATCTGTTATTTATGTCTCTTGCGAAAAAAACAGACTATAGCTATCTATCGAATACATACATACACTATACAAATATTACCTATAAATAAAATGTTACAAAGCGGAATAACTAATAAGAGTGACAACGTCGCACTATAAAAAAGGAATTGCGATATGCAGGAGAATGAACTAAAAACTATGATGTATATCACGGGGATTCTGGTTCTGGATAATTTGTAATATGGACAGGAGTCCTGATTGGTTTCCCTCCGTCTTGCTGCGGCTGCACTAATGAGCAACGTCAATGCCCATAAATGCAAAAATTATTGCCTTAAATTTAACGCGATAAAATGAGTGGTTACACTTGAACGGTCAACGTCGTTTCAATTTCAATGCCGTTGAACAGCATTAAATTTGCCGTTGAACGGCGTTATATTTGCCGTTGAACGGCGTTAAATGTTTCGACCGGGAAAGGACCACGCTCTCAAAGATTACCAGCGTAAAACAGTATCTTAATGCTGCTGTGTTTAATATGGTGAGTGTAGAGAACCGGAGACTCTTTTTACTGGAAACGAGGCATTCCATCCTAGTCCTCACGGATGACAACGCATCTGCATTTTGATTCATAATCGTGGATAGATGTAGATGTCTATGGGCTACAGTATTCAGATACCATTAGATCGACTGTGTGCTTGTTTGTCACCCTATCCTATAAAATAAAAAGATAAACGAAGAAAAAAAGAATACGAAGAAAAAGAAGATGGTGGATGCTACAAATGCACAGGAAACGTACACTGTAAATCTATTTATGTTTTATTTTGTTTTTCCGCACCCAAATTGCACTAGCAAGACGTCCAACGGTTTAAGCTAAATAATAAGACAAACGTTAATATATTTTAATGAAATAATAACTAATAAGCCAATCATAAATACTGGTCAAGTGCGAATTAGATACATGTACCCAGAGTTACCACTGTACACTATGAATTTCGACCTGCAAAAATTGTTTTTTTTTTCCTGCTTATTTTTCTTAGTTTCATACCGTAAATTAAAGTACTTTCGAAGTAATTTTTTCAATTCAATCTCTAAAAGCGAGAGTGAGTGAGTGAGGGAGAGCGAGATGGAGTAGTGAAAAACATTACTCCACTCCATCGCAGCCATACGTGCAACCCCGTGGCACTCACCGTGCACAATGAGACAAACGTAGTGTGGCCGCTTCAACGCGATAATTCGCGCGATGTACCGCCACTCGAGTTTTGGCAAACGGGAAACGGCATTGATAATGTCGTTGTCAAATTATCGCGTTAATTTGTGGCCACACCTACATTCAACGTCCATCAACGCAATAATTAACGGCATTTCTCCTTAGTGTGGCCGGGCCATCTGGCAATATACGAATATTCGTATATCGACATATGGTAAATATTCAAAGAAATGAGTTAAACACTATTTTTGAAATAGTTTAATGGACCAATATTCGCTGTCATAGTGTATAAAAATTGCCTACAAGTGGTGGACGCTACAAAAAATGCAAAATGATCGGACGTAGAATCAATTCTGTGAATATATATATGAGATTTTGGGCCTCTTAATAAAAATCGAGAATAATGGTTTGTTTTAGTTTCACTGTTTAACACCTTTTTTAATTAATTAATGCACTTAAGTCACGCACGCTTCCGTTTCTCGATCCCAAAAACAAAAACCTTCTCCCCCTTCCTCTCGCACCTCACATCCTCCTTCTCACACACTTACGTTCCGTTTCATTCCATTCCCTTACGTTCCATTCCTACATTTCGGTCATCCTGGATCTCATATCTGCCCCAGATATGCTCTTCTCCCTCTTTCATCATTCATTCATCTTACATCATACATTAACATCTCTAGTGCCTAGCATCTTAACACTGTTGGAGTAAACAGTTAAACTATGCATATCCTGCGTTATTCTTTAGAATAAGTAAACATTACATCTTTCATGGCACTTTTAAAAAAAATTAAACAATTACTGACACTAGTCCACA